GACCTGGTAATGTTTCCTTCTGTTGTGCATAAGGTCGCCACGAGTCAGCCAACTTGATTGCAACCAACAATACAGAGACGTGAAGGTCATGCATTAAGCACAGGACCAGCACAGGACATAACTGCTAACCCAACTCCAGAAAGGTCCTGTGAGGAATGGCCCACCTGATTTGAGATGTACATCACTGGACAAAGTCAAGAAAAATGTGAACGAGAATGATCACAGGAAATAGCCTAGGCTTCACACAGGCAGAGTCCTCAGGCCCCTCTGCCAGCAGATGCACAACCAGAGCCAAACAACAGTAGCCTTCCAGCACTGAAGACGGAGGTGGAGGTGATCAATGAAAACTTCACCTGCAGCCCTTTTACATCCCACCTGGCAGGAGTGAGAGCAAGCCTGTACAACGGATCAGCGTGTGCAGTCACCCATCTCAGCCTAGGACAGCTCTTTGGGTGATACAAAAGGTTAATGTGCTCAGCTACTAACCAAAAGGTCAGCGGTTCAAGTCCACTCAGAAGAAAGACCTGGCGATCTACTTCCAAAAAATCAGCTAGTGAAGACGCCATGGAACACAGAATTCTACTCTGACACACGTGGGGTTGCCGTTGAGTCTGGGCTGACTCAGTGGTAACTAGTTTGGTTTAGGGACTTGAGCTAGGACCTATACTCCACTGAGGTCGCCTGCCTTAAAGGCTTTATGTCCCCAAAGCTGTTAAAATGGACCAAGAAATAGCTTAATCATAAGGTCAAAGGCCCTTATTCTAAATGACCCCTAAATTTGACTCTGAGCCTCCTGACAGCCAAGGCAACAAAGAAAATAACAATGGATTATATAACCATCACTATCCAGTAGATGGAAGCATCAATTCAAGTATTAAACCCATTTTTAAAATGTACTGCCAGAAAAATAAAAAAATTATGATGACCGCTGGCAACGTTTGGTACATGTCCCTCTAGCACAAACCAAAAAACCAAGCCTGCTATCGCTGAGTCAATTCTGACTCATGGTGACTCCGTGTGTGTAAAGTACAACTGCACTCCATATGGTTTTCTTGGCTGTAATTTTTATGGCAGCAGACTACCAGGCCTTTCTTCAAATTGACAACCTTTAGGTTAGCAGTCATATGCAAATTGTTTGCGCCACCCAGGGACCTTCTCTCTAGTCTGGGGATTTACAAACCACGAGTCATTGTCTGCGCCTATAAATGGAGCACAGCCTCTCCCATTCACTTAGGTACTGTCTACAACTGCTCTCACACTGCAGTGACAGAGCTGGGTAGTTGGCAAAGTGACTGCACGGTCCATGAAGCTAAAAATATTTACTATCTGGCCGATTATAGAAATAGCATACCAATCTCTGCCCTGATCTTTTATTCCACATGTAGCTGAGTATAAGAATATAACAGAAGTTTAAAAAAACTACACAACTGTCACATATCAGGCTCTGAAAGGCACCACAAGTTGGTTTGAGACCCCAGAACTCCACTTCAAGGAACACAGGAGGTATTATGTTGACCTAGAAAATTTCCATCAGTGTTACCAGTCCTACCTTTGCCATGGAGACATTTCACATTTCAGTGATACTAATATGAAATATCTGTTTCTCACTTATATTCCACCATCCATCCATCCGTTTGTCATACTAGGGTGGCTTGTATGTTACAATGATGCCAGAAGCTATGCCACCAGTATTTCAAATCCCAGCAGAGTTAACCCATAGTGGACAGGTTTCAGAAGTGCTTCCAGACTAAGACAGACTAGGAAGAAAGTCCTGGCGGTCTACTTCTGAAAAGTAGCTAATGAAAACTTAATGGATTACAACAGAACACTGTTTGATGCAGTGCTGAAAGATGAACCCCCTAGGTTGGAAGACCCTCAAAATATGCAGTGTGTCAATAATTGATCTGAGAATACCAACAATCATGAAACGGCACAGGACTGGGCAATAGTTCTATGTACATGAGTCTACCATGAGTCGGAGCCAACTCAATGGCAACTAACAAGCTCTATTATCACTCAGAGTACCCCCTCATACACACCAGCCCACCAAACCCAGGGTAAGTTACTTATGAAATGTAGTCCCAGATAACCAAGTTAGTCATCTGAGTGGAATGATTCAGTATTTGCTTTTGTTTGATGTAGGAGACATACATGCGTCCATCTAACAATGACTGTCAGACCACGGAGGTCTACAAGGAAAAGACAACAAGCCACAAGGTCACTCAGTGTCCCTCTCTGGAGACTGTAACCTGTTCTGTTGGTAAGTTTGTAAAAACATGCAGAAATGTGGGACGAAGAACTCCACCTGGCCTTTTGTCTCTAATTTCTGAAAACAGCCTCTAGAATTCCCAAGCATTCAAGGTGCTCTTTTGTTTTTCTGTAACTGCCACATAACACTTAAAAAAAAAAAAAAAAAAAAATGTGCAAATGAGTTGGGAGTCCCCAACTAATCACCTGGCAACAGGCCTTAGAACAAACCCCCACCCCCACCCTCTGCGGCCTGATGTTTGTTAGCAGGGTTAAATAATGAGATACCTTTCTGGGGTGAAATGTTAAATACAGTGTTATATATAATTTTACAACAGTAGCAGCCCAATAATAATAATAAATAAATTTTAAAAATAGAGAAGCAGCAGTTGATACTACTAAATATCTTGTGGAGTAAGTTCTCTTGGTTTAAAGTTTAGGGTCAGGGTTTTGAGGGTCTGTCCAGTCAACTGGCCTAATACTGTTTTCAGAGCCTCTGTTCTACCTCCTAGTTTAGTGAGTAGTGCCTGGGGTCTTAAAAACTTACAAGTAACCGTACAAGATACAACTGGTCTCTATTCACCTGGAGCAGCAAAGGAAGGAGGAGACTCAGGAAACAGAGAAAGAAATGGATTGCAGGTCTAATAGCCTCCATGAACTATTAACCTTCATTGTCATGAGACCAGAAGAACGAGATGGTGCCCAGCCACCATTAGTGAAAGTTTTGATCAAGGACCCAACAGATGGAGCCAAAAGAGGAAAAATGTGGAACATAATTTCAAATTCTTATAGAAACTAGACTTACTAGACCCACTGGGACTGGGGAAACTCTAGAATCTATTGCCCTGAGATAATCTTTAAGCCTGGAACAGTATTCCATAAAGTCATCTTTAAACAATAGTTTAGCTCAACTAGTAAAGAATGTTCGCCTTGAGCAGTGGGCTCTTTTTAAAGAATTATCCACATGACATCAAAGTGACAGCTTAACTTGAAGACAAAAAGGAGAAGTTAAGGGGACAGAGAGTGTAAGTCAATGGTGGTGAAGAAATAATGGGTAGAGATAGCAAGAATGGTGATATAATGGAAGAATGTAACCAAGGTCACTGAACTGTACATGTAGAAAATGTTGACTGGGTGTATGTTTTGTTATGCACATTTTCAACAACAACAAAAAAAAAAAAAAACAACTATAAAGTGGCTGCAGAGATTATTTAGTACCAAATGTGAAGATTTAGCACATCCCGTTCGATATTTGTTGAGCGCCCATTACATTGCGGAAATTGACAGGAGTGAGGTAGACCTGAGTAAGTCTCAACTAAAAAACAAAAAGAGAGAGAGAGAGACTTTTCTGCGTTGGCACCAAAATACCTAATCACACCCCTTCCCTAAGGTGGGCAGATGGGAAAGTCTACATTGTGCTCCACGCGGAGTGTTACGTAGGCTTTGGGGTATAACAGTGGCTGGGGAAGGGGCTTTTGAGGTCCCTCAGCTACAGTGCTAGGTGGAAGCATGAGTAGCAGAGTCTTCAGCCCACTTAATTAAGTGTACCTAGCCAGGGGGGATCGGCTGAAGGTAGACCCCTTTTTAGTCTCTCACCTATGATGCTAGGTGGAGACACACGTAGAAAAGTTTTCCATCTCTGCCTAGACATCTTTTGAGCCGGGGGACCACTCATTTTTGAGCCAGGGGACCACTCATCATGGAACTTTCCCTGCTGTATACTGTCTGCTGTTTTGTGTAAGTAATAAAAGCTACTTTCCATGTGCTAGCACTCTAGGAGCGTCTTGTGTGTTCAGACTCTGACTGGAAGGACATGATATTCATGGAGGAATTACTATTAGTGATTGGTGCTCTTTTTCTAACGGCCTTCTGACTATTTAGGAATCTGGGACAACCTGTGAGTATATCACAAAACTAACAGTCAATTTCTGCCCATAGTGTCAATGATAGATAATATAGTGAAAGTTGCAAAGTCTTACATTATCCTTGACCAGGTTTACAAGATTAAAAAATTTTACGGTGGTCACCATCTAAGTTGACTTAATGTCATAATCCTGGGAACTCTACAACTCCTGGGGCTCTTACTGCCCCAAACTTGATTTCATAACAGTAGCACTGGAATTTTAAGTTTCATCAAGACATGTTTGCAGTATTTTTGTTGTTTCATGTAGCAGGGAATAAGATGCTATTTAATAGATCCAATTTAGCTGCATGAGGTTTTTGTTATTTGCTATGGATTGAATTCTGTCCTTCTTTAAAAATATGTGAAGCCCTGGTGGCGCCAGTGGTTAAGCGTTCGGCTGCTAACCAAAAGGTGGGCAGTTTGAATCTACCAGCGGCTCCTCAGAAATCCTACCAGACAGTTCTACTCTGTCCTATAGGGTCACTATGAGTCTCGACAGCAATGGGTTTTAAAAATATGTGTTTGAATCCTAACCCCCATGGCCTCTGGATGTAATCCCATTTGGGAACAGAGTTTTCTTTGTTATGTTAATGAGGTCCTATCAGTGTAGGCTGTATCTTAAACCTAATAACTTATGAGATATAAAAAGAGTAGATTAGGCACGGAGACAAGCAAGCTGACACAGGAGAGACAGAACCCATCTGAAGATGAGGAAGGCAGGAGTCCTCAGGCCCAGGAACTTGAAGGACTGTCGGCTACTAGCAGCTGAAACAGACAAGAAAGGGCCTCCCCCTAGAGCCACACGCTGAGTTCCGACGTCTGGCCTTCTGAACTGTGAGAAAATAAATACCTGTTTTTTAAAGCCATCCACTTATGGATTTTCTGTTACAGCAGCACGAAGAAATGATGACACTGTTTCAAAAGAATCAGAATGGATTTGCTTTAAATATCAATTTTAATTGAAAAAGAAAATCTTTCCTGAAAGATAATTAAAACATGTTTGTCCTTGGTATACCTTGAATAAGTCTCAACTCAGGGAAAGATGTAAGTCTCCTCCGAGGAAGTGTAAGTTCAAAATTAAAGCAATTTACATTTTTATCCACTGAGGATCAGGATTTCAATTAAATAAAGGGAAGAGTACTATACTGTAAGGTCAATGAAAAACCATCACCCAACCTCAGGGATGATGGTGACACTTAGTGATGGTCCGTCCCAGGCGACATAGAGAAGGATAACGGTAATGACCAAAAATAGAACTTCAGTAGTTTTACAAAGTGTTCTTTCACTCTTAGTCACTCACTCTTTCCCCAAGGCAGCAATTCTCCCAGCTCTTTTCAGATTACCCCGAACTTCCCCCCAATACTTCCAAATGTCCCCCTCCCTCCCTGCAGAAAATCTAAACCACTTCAAAAAAAAAAAAAGAAAGAAAACAAACCTCAAACCTGTTGCCGTAGTCAATTCTGACTTGTAGCAACCCTATAGGACAGAGTAGAACCGCCTCATAGGGTTTCCAAGGAATGGATGGTGGATTTGAACTGCCAACCTCTTGGTTAGCAGCCAAGCTCTTGACCACTTCACCACCAGAGCCTGTATATCAACTAGTCCCTCCTGCTCTCCTGGTATCAAGTCCCCAAAGGCTTCCCCTGAGCCATTGCCTGCCAGCACTGACTCCTGGTCACCGCCTCCACCTCTTGTTCTCTCCATTATCCTACCCTTTTCTCCGTACCTCTATTTTCAATCTCTTCCTCCCCACTACTCCCTTCCCTTGGGCCTATGAACATTTTTGTGCATTTCCTATATTAAAAAAAAAAGAAAAGCAAGCTTCTCTTAACTATTTCCTCCCCTAGCTTTGGCTGTCTCTGCATTCTTCAGCAAACATTTATAAAGTATACTCTAAACCCGCTACCTCCAATTCCTCAAATCAACAGTCTCTCCGAAGCCCCACGCTCTCCAGTAAAATTCTCTCGAAGTCCTCCAAAGATCTCATGCCTATGACAACTCTTTTCTTGATGACTCTTGGTGCCTTGGCCCACTGACTTTGCTGAAACTCTTCTTGGTCCACACATGCCAATTCAGTGTAGGTCTTCCCCAAGGCTTGCTCACTCCTTGACCTTGTTTTATACTCAGCTCCATTTCCCAAATGATCTAATTCACCCCTGTAGCTCCAACTTCTATTTCCACATGGGTATGCCTCCAAATCTCCTTTTTCCAGCCCTGGCCTTTAATAAGCCGTCTGCCTGCAATTCCACCTGCCTCCTAGTCATCCCTACAGAACAACAAATCCAACCTGTCCAAAACAGAAGTATCTTTCCCCATTACACTAGCTTCTCTTACAAATTACCCACCATAGTTAATGGTAGACATTCAAAGCTTCCCCTCACCCCACTGCCTGTCAGTTCAGCAGCCCCAAAATCTGTTCATTGCTTCATTTCCAATTCACTGCTATGGCTCTGTTCACCCATTCAGCTGTGTAAAAAGCATCCCACATGCCTACTGAACTTAAAATGCGATGGAAGAGGCTTGTTCTGGCCCCAACCTTCCTTCATGTCCTTTCTCAATGCTCTACGATCCATCCCCACTGAACCAATAGTTCTTAACTAGGGTTACATTAGAATCACCCACAGACCTTTCAAAATCCTGGCACCACCCACTCCCCCCACAACCATCTGCAGTGAGACCAGGGTATCATTATTTTATTTAAAATATGTCCAGGTAAATTCTAAGGAAGAGCCAGAGTTGAAAGCCTACAACCTCTTCCCAGCCATGAGCAGTTGGCACGCTCCCTCCTGAAATCTCCTCATTCTCCACTCCCTACTCTGATTATTCTTAATCCTACTAGTATAATTGGATATAAAAGTCATTGTTTTGTTCCAATAAAAGTGGAAACAATCTGAATGTCCAACTCAAGGGATATGTGTATATATTTACACCGTAAGAATACCCAAATGCATGTGTATATTCCACGTACGTAGGCATATATCATAAAGGTACATGTGTGCGTCAACATACATAGGTGGGAGCTGTTAACAGAATCACGTGCAGCTTGAAAGTTTTAAACATATGGGAAAATGCTTAAAATACAAGGTTATTATTTTCTATACTACACATCAGTTCTCTTATCATTCTCTCCTGAATCCACTTCAAACAGGCTCTTACCCCAAAACTCTCCTGAACCTCCGGACCACCAACGACTTTCATGTTGCAACAGACAAAGGTCAATTCCCAGTCTTCATCTTATTACACCTATTTAAAATCACCTCCCTCCTCAGGCATGCTGTTCAGCAGGCTTCCAGGATGCCACCCTCCACTGCTTTTCCTTCTCCCACACTGGGCTTCCCCCCTCAGTCTCCTTTGCTGGTAACTCCTCCACTCCATGACCTTTAAATATCTAAGGGTCCCAGCACCCACTTCTCAGGCCTCTTCTCCACCTACGCTCATTCCTTTGGTAATCTCACTCATTTTCATTACTTCAAAGATTACCCAAAGCTACAGACTCCCACATTTATATCTTTAGCTCTGTCAGGACAGAGACGGAGGAGGGGGAGGAACAAGAGGAGGAAAGGAAGAGAGGGAAGAGGGGGGAAGAGGAGGAAGGTGGAGGGAAGAAGAAAAACCAAAGGGTCAGAGTTAAGGAAAAATCATGTTTGAAAAATACTTCATCTCTCCTCTCCCCTTGACAGAGTGCTCGTGAAAAGCGAAATATCACTTACAAAGGGGCCTCAATAAAACTAAGTGCTGGTTTCTCCTCAGAAGCCATCCAGGCAAGAAGGCATGGGATGACATATACAAAGCCCTGAAAGAAAAGAACTGCCAACCAAGAAGTATATATCTAGCAAAACTGTCTTTCAAAAATGAGGGCAAAATTAGTACATTCTCAGACAGACAGAAATTAACGGAATTTGTAACCACCACACTGGCCCTAAAAGAAATACTAGAGAGAGTCCTCCGGATAGAAAACAATGATGTAAGACAACAACCCGAGATAAAGACACATGACAGCATCATCCAGATTACTGCAACTGCTGTCAGTAAGTTGAACACCTGTAAAAGACTGAATTGGCAAAAGTCGTGTGATACATGTATTTACAACAACAACAAAAAGTGTAGCTGCTGAGACTGCTTGTGTACAACCAAAAGCCTCATGGAAATTGGTTCCTTGGCTTCCAGGTTTAGGGTCACGGTTTCATGCGACATCCCAGTTAACTGGCCTATTAATATGTATAGTACTTCTGTTCTACCTCCTAGTTCACTGCATACTGCCTGGGGTCTTAAACGCTTTGCAAGCAGCCATCCAAGGCACACAATTGGTCTCTATTCACCTGGAGCAACAGAGGAAAAAGGAGAGTTAGGAATAGGAGGAGGAAATGGAATGTGTAGTTAATTGCCTCCATGAACAACTGCCTCTTTTGCCATGAGACTAGAAGAAGTGGATAGAGCCCGGCTACCATTACTGAACATTTTAATCAAAGATTCCATAGAAGAATCCTGATCAAAAGGGGGAAAATGCAGAAGTTCAAATTCTCATGGATTCTAGACTCCGGAGCCACGGAGGGTAGATGAACCCTCAAACTACTGCCCTGAGATAATCTTTAAATCTTAAACCAAAATATTCCCTAAAGGCATCTTAAAACCAAATAATAGTTTAGCTTAACCAGTAAAAAATGTCTGCCTGAGCATTAAGCTCTTTTAAGAATTATCTATACAGGATCAAACGGGCAATAGCGACTTGAAAGATTAGATATGAACCTTAGGAGCCAGTGAGTTATGTTAATGAGGGAGGAACAACTCAGAAAAGGAGGGTGAGAGTGGTTGCACAACTCAAAGAATGTAATTAATGTCACTAAATTGTACATGTAGAAACTGTTGAATTGTTGTATGCTTTGCTGTGTATGAAGCCCTGCTGGCGCAGTGCTTAAGAGCTTGGCTGCTAACCCAAAGGCTGGCAGTTCAGATCAACCAGCCACTCCTCAGAAACCCTATGGGGGAAGTTCTACTCTTTCCTTTAGGGTCGCTATGAGTCGGAATCGACTAGACAGCAATGGGTTGGTTTGCTGTGTATACTCTCAACAACAACAAAATAAATAAAATTTACAAGAAAAAAAAAGGATCAAAGACCTAAATGTTAAAGCTAAAACTATAAAGTTCCTGGAAGATAAAGGGACAAATTATAGGGCCTAATTTTTAAAAAAACTAGATTATCAAACACAACTATAAATGAACAAACAACAGAAGACCAATTAGATAACTGGGATATCCCATGCTCATCAAAAGACTTTATCAAAAGAGAAAAAAGACAACTTACAAACTCGGAAAAAATCTTCCGGAATGACATATCCGATAAGGGTCTAATCTCTAAAATATATAGAAATCTTCAGTTCAACAACAAAAAGACAAACAATCCATTTAAAAAATGGGCAAAAGACATGAAAAGACACTTCACCAAAGAGTACGCTCAAGAGGCCAGAAACACATGAAAAGATGGTCGTGATCATTAGCAAATCAAAACTACAAAGAGATACCATCTCACCCCCACAAAAAATGGCCTGCCTGAAAAAAAAAAAAAACAACAAATAATAAATGTTAGAGGTGATGTGTAAAGACTAGAACCCTTACCCACTGCTGATGGCATTGTAAAATGGTACAACCACTAAGGAAAACGGTAAGGCCCTTATTCAAAAAGCTAGAAATACCTTGTTGTTGTTAGGTCAGTTCCGACTCATAACCACCCTATGTACAACAGAACAAAACACTGCCTGGTCCTGCACCATCCTCACAAGTGTTGTTATGCTTGAGCCCATTGCTGCAGACACTGTCAATCCATCTCATTACAACTCTATGTACAACAGAATAAAACACTGCCTGGTCCTGTGCCACCCTCATAAGCGTTGTTATGCTTCAGCCCACTGCTGCAG